GAGAACTTAGAGAACTTAGAGAACAACTTAGAGAAATTTCCTGACCGTCAGAACAATTAATCAGTGGAACAGCTTGCCTCCAGAAGTTGTGAATGCCCCAACACTGGAAGTCTTTAAGATGTTGGATAGTCATTTGTCTGAAATGGTATAGGGTTTCCTGCCTAGGCAGGGGGTTGGACTAGAAGACCTCCAAGATCCCTTCCAACTCTGCTATTGTATTATTATATTAAAATTTAATCTCCCCCCTCCCTGCATCCTGCTAATCTTCAGAAAACTGCTGAAAACTTATTTTATTACTTTTTTCAACCCAGGGTTAAGATTCCAAATATTGAGTAGATTTTGATTGTTTTTGATCATGACCCTCTCTTTAGTATTATTATAATTCACTGGTTTGTGTATGTGTGTGGGTGTGTAAAAGTAATGTACTTCTGTTTGCTTTTCATCCCAATTACCGGTACCTATTAGGGAATTATAAGTCATCCATATTTTTATGGGCTACATACATATATACATACATACATGCACAGAAAAAGTTATGCACCAGCTGATTAAAAGTTCATTTCTAAGCTACTAATATTGATGCCTCATACTTTAAAAATTAGTATTTAATATTAACAAAACAGACTTCTCCTTGTTCTCACCTCCCTTATTCCTAAATTTTATTTGAATGTTTTCTACTTCCTCTTCCTGTGAGGGGTTGTCTGCTCTTTTCAAAATTAGTTGTACCCATTTAGAAACCTCCCCCACCCCCTGTCATTCATCCATTTCCCATTACCTCAGAATTGTACTCATAGGCATTCAAGCTGGTCTTCCAGCTGCCTGGCTAACTGCCACACCCTGGTATTTTCACATTAGCGTTTACATCTAGAGGCAGCCTCGCCCTATCCAGTCTTTTGAGCTTACAAAAGCAAATGTTAAGCAGAGTGGGAAAGGAGTGTATGTAGCAGGAAAGGTGATTGCTGGGAAGCAGAGATTGGCAGCTATTATAATGAGGCAAATGCCTGAGTTTTGCTGGGAGCCCAGTAGCAGCTAGAAGAGGAACAACCACACTGAAATAGCACCTCATCCCAATTAGTATAAGAATGTTTGGAAAAGGCAAAAACTGTATGTTATTTTGTAAAGTCTTTGAGACTTTAGTTTGAATTAAATATAGTAAGAAAATAAGTATTAAAGGACTCTTACAGACATACTTATGTGGCAACAACACGTTGCAAAACCCAAAAGGGTGGAGTTGACCTAGAGAATGATAAATAGCCTGTTGTTGGGGAAGCTGATTGTTGCAATCAAATATTTTGTACAGGTTTGCTATGCTTGTGGTGTCTCCAGTCCTTGAACTTCAAAGAACTTCACACCCAGTCCAAGAGAATTCTGGGAAGGAAAGCAGCATAATAAAGAAAAAATGTGTTCCGACAGTAATTTCCATACTACTGTTATATATACAAAGTGGGCTACAAATAAACACATTTCATATCCAAATCCATCAAGTTTATTTTCCAGTAAAGGTACATTGGATTAAAAGATAGTTTTTCACAATCTTTTCTGTTTTGTCAAAACCATAAGGACAAGCACAATCTGAATGTAGTTACTTTAAGAAAAAAAGTTTTAAGTGCTGTAACAGAAACCTTATAAAGGAACTTTATGGTATCTTTTAAGAAAGATGTTAAAAGTTTATTGTTGGGTATGTAGCACTATTTGGAACATATTTATAGAAAGGCAACATAGTCAAAAGCATGTCCTGTAAGAAAAAAATTAAAGGAATTGAACATCTGAAGAAAGTAGTCTTCAGAAAAGTCAAGTAGGATATTAGCCATTAACAAATATCTGAGGGGCTACTATGGATTTATGAAAGAAAAAAATGATTTTCAGTTGATACTTCTCAGAAGTACCTGATACTTGTCAGAAATCAGATATATCTCCTGTAATTTATATCAAAATTGAGAAAACAGTTCATTTCTGACAGGAGGATAGACTACACCACTAAACAGTTTACAACTGAAGCAGAGTCCATACTTTCACTTGTAAGTTATATTAAACGCATCAGCATCAGTGGTAGGTTCCAATTTTTTTTTACTACCGGTTCTTTGGCCATGGCTAGGTGGGGAGGCATGTGACTGAGTAGATGTGGCTAACTTGATGTCACTCACGCACACTCAGTCACATGAGCCCCCATCAAGTCACGCCCACCAAAATGGTGGCAAAAATATTTGACAAGTGAGGGAGTGCCAGGCCAGGGCTCTTTGCTGTCTCCTGGACAGCATTGGGGGCGAGCCAAGCAGCCTGCTCTTGAAGTGGCGTATGTGGCCGATGGGTTTGGCCCTGGGCTCTTGCTCTGTCTGCCCGGGAAAACCAGCACTGAAGCAAAATGTCCTGGCGTGCCTTTGAGCCGAGCCCTCGGGATTCCTGGAGTGGCCCGTGTGCTCAGCTGGCTCCAGCGGTGCAACAGCCAACCAGCCATCGCCAGGGAGACCCACCAGCGCCACCAGATGCCTCCCGGTGCAGGTGAGACATGATTGGTCAGGCAGGGGGAACACGAGGCTTCAGGCCAGGAGCGGGCTAGAACGGCTGCCCCACCAAGAGGAGTACTTCGTTCAGCCTTTGGCTGGCAAAGGGCCTGTTGCCTCCGAAGGTTCCCGGTTGGTGGGACTGCCTGAACAGCTGCCTGGTGCGGACAAAGACTGGCTCCCCTCTGCAACACGCGGGAGGCTCCCCGCAGTTCCTCAGCTCATCTGGGCTGCAGCTGAGCCCACTGCCCTGAGCTAGCTGACAGAGGCGCCGCAGGATGTGGCTGGGAGCATGCTAACCTTGCCGTCCCCTCCTCCACTGCCCTCTCCTCCCGCCGCCACTGCCCTCTCCTCCCGCTGCTCTCTTCTTCCGCCACCACCCTCTCCAGCATGTGAAGCTTGCTGGGCTGCAACGGCAGTAGATTCAGGAGACGCTGGCCAATGGGGAGAGGGGACTAGGCTAGCGTGAATACTGCTTACCTATGTGTAGGCAGGAGGAGGCAGTTCTGTAGATGCATGTGGCGAAGGCGACGCAGGGCAAGCATCTGAACGGACCATTTCAGGGATGTAGCCAGCCAGCTGTCACTACCGGTTTGGTGACCCAAGCCCAATCACTACTACCAGTTCACTCGAACCAGGAGCAACCCACCTCTGATCAGCATGTGATGCCACCCAATTTTATGGCCTTTTTTGCATTGGTTATTAAGTGAACACCATAAACATAAAGCAAATGCTACAGCTGTTATGCAAACCATTGTTTGCTATGGCGTGGTTTTTGCCAAAAACAATAAGTAAACATTGGTTTTCAGCAAAAACAATATAAATTGCGGTCAAATGACTGCAGCGGGCTGGGGGAGGGGCTACAAACAACTGTGCATGCAAACCATTGCAAGTACCTAAATTATGATCATGGGGACGATGGGTAGGGTAGACATTGGAACTTCAAATCTGGGTCATGTCATATTTTTGGAGTCCAGCCATAAGTTGAAGATTACTTGTGATTTTGTTTTTTTTTATTCATTCAGAAGTAGAAATGTGATTTAATTGATTTTCCTGTTATAAACAACATAAATATGTACTATTCACTATTTATGTAAAATGGTTTGGTGAGATATCAACTTTGTACTTAGAGTGAAATTTAAACTACATAACATTTGAAGGTTTTAGAAATGTAAAACAATATTTTAAACATTCATAAATAAAAACAGCAAGAGTAATTTTGAAATGAGATGGGTGGCAAATAAATTTAACAAATAAATAAAATAAAAAAATTGGAAATGTATGATAAAATGGTTAAACATTTTATAATAATGTGCAAACAACCTAAGTATTAAAGTTACTTACTTAAACTTATAGCTTTCTCGTTTGTTATTGACAAATCCATCCGACAAATCACGTGGTACAATAATTTCCAGACCAAATCCTGATGTCTCATTTTCATCAACTGAATATATCTGCAAAATACATGTAACCTTTTGAAAATATTTCTATTAATTAATGTAAACATTCCATGATTTAGCCACATGTTTCAATAGGATAATTATAATAGGACTAGATTAGCAAGCAATTCTCCTAAACAAGTGTACAAGAGATCTAACTCTAGGTAAAATAATGCTAAAATATGGGAATGAGTTAAATGCATACTATTCCGTATACTTTACAGTAAAATAGCTAATTTGAAATTTAGTATAAGTAATCACTGCATTTCACTAGTATATAGTTTTGAATAAAGTCTATGAATAAGATTCCAAGTTTTATTTTCTTTAGACTCAGTTTAAATTAAGTAGGGCAAGCAATTCTGAATGTAAGGCTGAAGAAAAGTTAAATAACAAAGCTGCCCACCTATCAAAGTTATAGCAATCAAAATAATTCCATTTCATCACATTTCGGAATCCCAACCATTAATTCACTGCAGCAAAATGAGTACAGCCTCTCAACAGTTAAACAATTTCTAAATAAATAACCTCTTTCACTTTCCTTACAGTTGGGCAATAATTGTAGCAGGTACTCAATTGTCAGTTTTAGCTGATTTTTTAAAAAAAAAATATTCTTTGTAGAGTTTGCTCAGGATACCAGAGTAGAAAGAGAGATTAAAAAAGAATTACATTATAATATGGACATCTGAGCTTGCCTGCAGCCAGCTTCAAATTTAGCCATGCATTTTCCAAAACAGCCAGGTCCTTCTCTTCTTGGGGAAGAGCTACCCAAGTCCTGCGTTGGGTCCAGTTTACTTTCTCCACTCCACCATCCACAAAAAGCCTTCGCTCATCTCATCCATCACCTTCGAGCAAGGTGCACTCTATTCAAATACTTTATTTCTGAATTTTGGACATTTTTAAGTGTGGATTTCCTCCTAAGTCATGCTGGTTGGAAAATTCTGGCAGATGAAGTCCACACATCTTAAACATGCCAAACCTAATGAACCCTGTTCTATTCCCCGCTCAGTCTCTCCATCTTTCAAGATTTCGCGGTATCTATGGAGATTCTCACTCATCCTGGTCATGGCTTTTAAAGGACCTTTGGGACAATATTTCGGAGGTTCTGGCCTGGCTCTCACCCACTGTTTTCTCCCTAACACCGTGTCCGGCCCGGCTTGCTGGGTTCTGTTCTTCACCTACCCCGAGGGTCTGCCTCTTGCCCAAAGGTTTCACCCGGGCATAAATCTGGATCGTCTGCTTCACCATCTCCGCGAATCAAGTTCTTCGTGGTCAAGAAACAAGCGAGCGGGCGCAAGGCCGGCCCTAGCAACGGTAACCAAGGAACACTACCCGTCGTGCCTTGCGGCATAGCGGCCGATTGAGGAAACACTCCCCGCCCAGCGCACGTGGGAGCTGAGCGTCCTCCGTTAATTAGTTTGAATATTTAAGTTGAGAGAGAAAAAATCTGTGCCGCGTTTGCGGTTTTTTCATTACTTAAAAAAACGTTTCGCTCTTTTTTTTTTGTCACAAACAGCATGTGTTGTCATGGAGGGTGGACGTCAATTAAAAAAAAAGATCGATGGACGCTGTGTTAGTGATGGCTAGCTGAAAGTAAGCTCCTTTTAATCATGATGACTCCTAGGTAATGGAGTTGGAGGATTTTGGATCAGGAATCGGAGCCCCAAGCTCAGAAGTAGCCTCTGAAAGGAGTCTGTCTGAGCTTCAAATAATATCCTTATTCCGTAGGGATTAAAAGAAATACGGGCGTTTCGTGCTGATTTAAGGAACTATGCATGCCAACTGCATACGTGGAAATCTTATTCTACTTTCAGGATGATTGCTTATGTCTTGCATATAGCTTCCTTATAGATTTATAGAATAAATCAAAATTGCTTGGGTTCACACAACACCAGACCTACCTCTAATATTTTGCAATGTGTCATTTCATGATCTTTTTCCTACTTAATGTCTTTTTTTATTGTTACTGTGGGGACCATGTTGATTTAAAGGAGCTAATGTTTGTTATGGGGAATTACTTCACCCATCTCTTGTGTTTAGTAGTTTGTGGAACATTAAAATATGTTCTTCAAAAATGCCCTGTATGTAGCAAGTTGGGCATTTTAAAACGAGACTTGTTTGTCTTTTTAACATGAAACATACGTTTTTATGAAAAAGTTGAGTTGCTCAAATCCCAAATTTGTTAGGAGAGTAGTAACTTTGATTGTCTTCATAATTTGTACCAGAACAAAATAACAGTTGTATCTAAATAGCAGTTTTAATATTAGTAATTATATTACAATATTGCATGTATTTCATATACGGAAAGTACCACATGCTTATATATTGTATTTTAATATAGTACAGCTTTGATAGTGGTTAAGACATCAGGAAACTGTGGAAGAGTATGAGTTCTAGGCCTACATTAGGCACAAAGACCAGTCACTTTCTCTCAGCCCTGGGAAGAAGGCAATGGTAAACTATTTCCGAAAAACTTTGCCAAGAAAACTGGCCCAGGCAATTGCCAGGAGTTGACACTGATTTGAGAATGTAAAAGAAAAAGAGAAAAAGAGCTAGATGATAAAAATCCTTACAAAAAGAATATGCTTTCTTTTCAGATACAGATCCATATTACAATTATTTATTAAACTTGTATGCCAGCCATCTTGTCAAAGGCGACTCTACCGGCTCATAGATATTGTATAAAATATAGTATAAAACATTAAAACAATAATTAAAAGTAAGCAGGATGGAGAGAGAGAGAGAGAGAGAGAGAGAGAGAGCAAGGGTAAAAGGATGGGAATGAATGTGACCTGGGGGGGGGGGGACACATGTTCCAGAGGGGAGGAGCCACAACAGAAAAGGATCTTTTGTGATGATTTTTCAGTATCTCTGATCTGAACTTCAATAATTCTATTTCTACTTACTTCTTGTTCAAGTATCTTCTTGTAGTCTAGATTTGGCAGTCCTTTACCCACCTAGGTAATTTATATATTTATTTCTCAGTTTATTTGCTGCAGTTCTTATATACTTTTCTGAGTACTTCTATGAAGAAAGTATGGAAATGGAATTTGTTTTAATATAATCTTAAATGATTTGAAGATAATTTAACTCCAGTTTATGATAGTCCAACATAATATGGTAAACTATGAACCATGATACAATAACAAATAGTGACTGGTTTTGCATAGTACATAAAACTAAAAATAAGTCATGTTTATGCTTCAACATATGCATCAGACCAATCTATTAATGAATTGTTTGGTGAACTATGACATAAAAGTCTGGAGATTCTCAGCCATCCAGGTCATGAATCCCAAAGGTGCTTTTTCAAGAGGCAGCTGGACCATACAAGAGGCTTCTTCAGCTCCTCAGTTTCTTGGATGAGAAGTAAAATGTCTTCAAAGAAAAACCAGAAAGTTCAGTTGCCTCTTGAAAAAGCACCTTTGGGATATGACATAAAAGGAATGGAATGAATTGTGTAATCAATATTCTTGATTTCATTGAACTATACTATCTCAGGCAATTAGGTTACATAAATTTACATACTACACTAAGTTGTGGCTCAAAGAGCTAAACCAAATTATGATTATGATCTGTGAATCTAAATCCAGAGACCTTTTAAGATAATTTGTGAATTTGCAGGTGTGATAATCTGTTTGTATCCTAGAATGGTATTAAATTTTGAATTAATCCATTTGACTACAAGGATGTCACATTGGAAATTTGCTTCATTGTTTGAAAATCTTAATATTTTATAGAAACATACATACCGTATTTTGATATTTTTCTTAGTACCTCTCCCAAATATTTTCTGAAAGGGCATCATTTATCTAGCAGTGGAAGAAAATCCTCTATTAGCTCATAATCACATAATGTAATGGCCCTTGTTTTAATCTACAAGAGTTTTAATTAGATAATCCTGCCATGACAGTGTTGTACAACTAGATAGGATATTTAAAAAAGATTGAATCCTAAACTATTAATTTTTTTTACCAAAATATTCTCTGTATCAGGAAGTTTTATCCCATCTTTCTGTACTAATGACCATTAGTCTTTAATTGCAAACTAGAATCTGCTTTCTTTTATCAAAGATCAAAATATGCCTGGAAAATGTCAAACAGATAGCAGAATCACTTATACATAAGAATATATATTTTTGAAGAGATTTTTTTAAAAAATCCAAGTCAGGATTGATTCTGGATGTGATCATGTATGTGTTTGTGTAGTTTTGTTGATAGCAATTTGCCCTTTGCCATTCCAAAATTTAATTTAGAATTTACTCTAAAAACTGGTTTCTCATAATTTACTAATGGATATAACATATTTCTTGGTCCATAAAAAGAATGGTTATTCTCTATCAACAAAATGTGGAGGATAACTGGTCTCAAATGTGTAAATTAAGGGCTATGAGAATATTAGGGCAACTTTAAAAAAAAACAAATTTGCTAATTTTAGAAAATTTTAATTAAAAAATCAAATAAATGAAATATTCAGCTATCCTAACTGTTATTTTCTACAAATAACTTTACTGTGTTGTACTTTTAAACATAGGTTCCCTTATTGCGTTGTGAGTGTATTCATTATTTCAAAGAGGACTTCAAAAACTAGTCCAGTAGTTTGTTACAATTTGTCACAGCCAACATTAGCTGTGAAGCAATGCTAAAAAACTGAGAAATCTAGTATTCAGTTTCATGGATGTCCACAAGATCTATAGAGTAGACCTAAGAGAAAATAATAGGGAGGTGGTGCCTCAAGACGCTGAACTTGTTGATCCCAAAGGTCGGCAGTTCAAATCCCTGATGCCACGTAAAGGAGTGAGCTCCCGTTACTTGTCCCAGCTTCTGCCAAACTTGCAGTTCGAAAGCACATCAAAAAACGCAAGTAGAAAAATAGGGACCACCTTTTGAGGGAAGGTAACAGTGTTCCATGCGCCTTCAGCATTTAGTCATGCTAGCCACAAGACCATGGAGATGTCTTTGGACAGTGCCGGTTCTTCGGCTTTGAAACAGAGATGAGCACCGCCCCCTAGAGTTGGGAACGACTAGCACATAAGTTCAAGGGGAACCTTTACCTTTAAGAGAAAATATAATTTCTTTTTCACAATTCAACCTATAAATGTGTTCTAAAAATATACATTAGTTGTTCTNCTATTACACATCCCATGCACTGCAAAAATAACAAGCAAAGAAGTCCTAGACTGAACTTCGTCAAAAATACCACTTGAAACCAAGATCACCAAACAGAGGCTGTCATACTTTGGTCATGTCATGAGAGCTGACTCACTCAAAAAGTCAATCATGCTGGGAGTGATCAGTGGAAAAAGGAGAAGGGGCCACCCTAGTAACTGCTGGCTGGACACTACAAACGATGATACTGGGATAACCATGGTGGATCAGAAGGGAGGCGGTACGAGACAGAGGGGCATGGAGAGTGCTGATCCATAGAATGGCTGAGGGTCAAACACAAATGAATGGCTGACGATAATGATGCTTCCTTGGAGCATTTTCTCCCTTTTGTCAAAATTCCTTCTGCAGAGGAAATGGCAAAATTTTGCATATAAATCTTTTTGTTGAAAAATGATTATTTTCTCCTGTGAAAGGAGGCTTCATACAGGGCTTTAGATCCCTCAGATTGCCTTGCATTTGATGTATGTTTGCATCAAACTAATAAGGTTGCAGGTAATAACTTCTGTAGAAAGCATTTCAGGAACCTTCCATCTATTGTCTTAACTCCCTTGGGAATTGCACCCCTCTTCACTTGGAGAAATGCTGGCTTGGTGCAGTATTTCATAGGGTGGGTTCAGAGATATCTAGTGAAGTTGTACCATATTTTAGCTATCACTGGACATGATTGCTCTAACCTGCCCTGTTGTCACAGCAGCCCCTTTGTCTGAAACAATAGCAGCAGGCTGTGAATCTGGATTCACACAGCACACTAACCTGGTTGCTTAATGTTGTTGAACCTATAGAAGCCCAGCCATTATGGTATGTAAACTGGTTTATGTCTTGGTATGTTGAGCAATCAAAGGAAAGTTTAGTAAACTGGTTTGGCACAGCGAGAGAGAAGAAATCAGAGGCAGGAAAAAAACACAATTTTCCATTACAGAGGAGTAAAACTGCTGTGTTCTGTCGAGGCACTCAGTGGAGGTGAAATAACTTCTAATGCTAGTGAAGACAATTCAGAAATGGGATGGTTTGCCTCCTTTCAAAGTTTGATATCATTTTTATTATCAAAATATTAAACTTAAAATTTACATGATTCTGGTGCAATTTAATTTGGCCATAATTTTTAGTA